CAGGTGTTTTTAGTTTAAGACAAAACAAGCATCTTGATTTTTGAGATCAGGGAAATTTCTTTTTTCCTCTTGCTCCTTTAGGATTTGTTTTGTATGTCTGTGTCTCTCAAAGGGCTGAGTGGAGTTAAAAGAATAACATTGGAGAGAGTGAGTGCCTAAGCAAGGGGTAAGAGGTCAGAGAGACGCACATGTGGTTCTCCGGTGTGTTTAGTAACGGCGTCTGTGGAGTGTTCGCTACTTTAGAGTCGAAGATTTTAGGGAGATCTTCGCCTCTCGTGCTGCCCTGCTTACGGAAGGAGAGGTAAAAGGCGACGTGCTACTGTAACCACACAGATATACCTCTTAATGGCTACTACTGGTCTCTTGTGTGACCTTGCTTCAAATTTGTGTACATTGTTGTACATGTAATAAAAGAATGACGCTCTTTCCCGTGTGAAAAAGAAAGGTGTTTGGGCTGTGTGTTCTCAGAGGTGGCTGGAGAAGGGCTGAGTGAAACTCTGACTGCGCCATGTCTCAGTAAATACACGTCTTCAGACCATATCTGTGTTAATCTCCGCATTTTGATCGGACTCAGCTCAGTTGCTTTCGATGTTTTGAACGTGGCACTTTGATTTGACTCTGTACCCGTTCTGCACTATAACTAACACGATTCTCCTGTTTAGGGTTTCAGTTCACGTTTCAGCTGGAGCAATAAGCCAGTCAGTGATGATTATGTTGTTGGTGAGAGTCCAGTGACTTTAAAGAGAGAATGCTGAGCCAGCGTCAGTTATTGCCTTCCCCCAACCATCAACAGTAAATTATGACTTGCTATGCTTCTGAGTCATTAGGAGAAAATGACTGACTGTATTTGAAACGTATTCGTTCTCCACTCCAAACTGGACTTGTTCACGTTTGCTGGGGCAAAATCTGAAATTCGAGCCTTTCCGTATTGTAATTAGCAACATTTTGTGGACACATCCTTCAAGAGTTTTATAAAATAAGTAAATATATAGGAAAAAAAATCTAGGGGTGGATGATATGGCCAAAGTATAACTTTCCTTTTCATACACGATACGCATCACTGCATTACAATATTTATTTTTTCTGATGTTTTTCTGAGGTCATGGAGCAGTAAATTCCCTTCTCATCATGTCTGAGAATTTCCCTGTGTACCATTTGTGTGTTTCTATGTCCAGATGATAAAATTATCTGGAAATTAAGGCCATGCGGAGACAGAATTCAAACCCCATATTGTCACTGTCAGATCAAAACCTTATAACTTCTGTTTTACTTCTTTATTACATGTGAAAATACTGCAGTTTACTTTCTGTGGAACTTTCATGGCAAATGAACCAATAAAAATGGTTCAAAATAAAATCTCATGACATTAACTTGCTTTAAAAGTTAAACCTTTTGTTCCTTCTAAACGTTGCCATTTTGGAGGTCCAAAGTTTCGTTCTGACAGCGACAATCCATCAATCATGTGAAATCAGAGTATTGATTAATGACTGATCTGAGATCAGCAGATACTGGACTGTTTTGTTTTCTTCATGCTCAGTGGTCACTGCACCCTCAGTTTCTTTAAGAAATGAATGAAGGATTTTCATGATTGGACATGATTTGTTTTGATCATTGGGAGTTCAGGTGGGACTGTTGATTTTGCCGTTTGCTCAGAAGAGTTAATAAAATCATATTTAATAGTGCGTTGCATCATATGTCCACATGAAGATATTTTCGAGGTGGCTGCTTTTGTTCTCAGGCAGGAGTTCCACAGAAGGGCTGGCGTGGCTGCAGGCTTTCATTCCAGTCAAGCAGCAGCAGCACTTCTGATTCTACTTGATTGATCAGCTTAGTTTTAAATTCTGTGTAATATCTAAGGGAGCTTTCTCACTTTGTTTAACGTAGACTCTCTGAACCTTTTCTTTAGCTTAACAGGTGTGAACACTCCATCTGTATTAGGGTTTACACTGTACAACAGAATGGTGGTTCGGCCAAAATCGTAGGTCTCAGCTTGCTTCCAAATGAACATTGCTCAACATCAGAGCATGCTTTTCTGCTTCTTCTAGCAGCACATCAACGCTGTAGTGTCCACATAATCTGCCTGTTTTAGTATCGTTCATCGCTCATATCGCTCCTGCAGCACGAGCTGTTGTTAATAACGGCAGATAAGCAATACAGGGTGATTCAGAAAGATTTATCTGATTTAAAAATGATTTACTTCCCTTGTAAATTATTACAGAACAATGCAGTAAACTTTAAATGATTTAAGGAGCATAAAGTTTATTATGTAATTTTAGAAGTGCTCAGTATGAACCTCTTCCAGCTGTACAGACAACATCAGCGCCATAGTCAAATTCAGCCCATAAATTCATTGATTGAGCATGCCGGGTGTCGCTGCACTCACGGCTCTTTCAGTGCGATTTCGGAAATCGTCCAGTGCTGTGGAACCAACGATGAACGCTCTGAGCTGTTGGAGGTTCACTGCCCACAAAAATCACACTGCACAGTTATGACGGATTCACTCTTATTGAAGTGGAGAACGCAGAATGCTTTCCTCTCAGACTGAAGGGAGCCATCTTCTGGTGACAGTCAGAAACTCTGTGACCCCCTCTTTCAATTGGTATGTGATTGGTTCCTCGGCATCTCATGGTAGTAAAAATATGTCGCTTTGAAATTGGATTGGTTTTTGAATCACCTTGTATAAAAAAAATATATATATATGCATTTGATTTTAGCACATTGAATGTGTTTTTGGCCAAATATCAGACAGCTTCACATACAAATTGGTAAACCAGTCATAAAGAAGCAAATCTCAAGTAAGGATTATTAATATTGCTTTGAGTGTGATGCACATAGGCTACGTTCACATTACAAGTCTCATTGCTCAAATCCAATTTTTTGCTCAAATCCGATCTCTTAGCCACGACGGTTCACAGTCGTTTAGGTAAGTGATTCAAATCCACTTCTATCCTGGTAATGTGAATGTAGCCATAGATGTTAAGTGCCTCTGTTTACTATGTTTCTCTTGAAAGATGAAAAAGATACCATGTCTCAAAACTGGGGGCACTTCAGCAAACGAATTAAGTGTGAGAACATCGCAGTTGGCCCTCTTGGCAGGGCGTTACCTCCTGTGAGCCGGTTGGCACAACTATGGCTCCTTCTTCGTCCAGGTGTTCGTTCTTTAGATAGATTGAGTTACAGCATTTTACAGTATACAGGATGTATTAACTTATTATCATTTAGAAAACCAACAGGTCACCCAAGCTTTTGCAAATGACTGTATATGAGGTGTGCTCCTGAATGGTCAAGATGAAAACCAGCAGCCACACTAGGTTTTTCAGGGTAAGACTGGGCACCCTTGAGCTAGGAAAATGGAATTGCATGTTTTTATGCTTTCATTGATTATTCATCAAATATTTACCTCCAAAGTATGTACATGGGATTTGTGATGGGAAGAATAACATCAAAACAAATGATCTTGGGGACATTTTGCATTCTGCATTTGAGTTAAGAAACTATCTATGGCAGGGGTCACTAGATGTTGGAACATTGCTGTGAGGATTTAATTGCATACAGCCAGGAAAGCATCAGTGAGGTCAGGTATTGATGTTGGATGATTAGTTCTGGACACTCCAACTCATCCTAAAGGTACTGGATGGAGCTCCATCACTCCAGAGAACACAGGTCTACCGTTCTATAGCCCAATGCTGGGGGCTTTATACCCCTCTAGCTGACAATTGGACATGGTGAGCATTGGCTCATATGTGGCTGCTCCAAGCAACTCATTCTATTGATCAGTGCTTTTTTCTATGGAGATTGTACAAACTGTCTGTGCACAATCAAATGCTTGGATCAAGAATGGGTGCACTTTAAAGTAGCTGCATTCACTGATTAGAAGGGCTGTCTGGACAGTTTTGGACATACAGTGTGTATGTGTGTGGGGGTTATTGGATGGATTATTTTTAAAATACACCACAATACACAAAAATGTCTGGACACACCTAATCGAATGCATGTTCTGTTCTCCATAACCTTACTGACATTTTGACCACAAATCTCATACTTGAATACTTAAATTTAAGCGTACAAACTGTACATCAAGAAATGGGCTATGGTCTCTATACACTAGAGGTGGTGCTGCAAGTGGCTGAATTCCAGCCATGTTTCACATTTTCTGCATAATTAAATAGTGAAGATGTAAACAAAGTCATTCAGAGTAGTTTGGTGTGAAATGCTCTGCTCTAGAGAAACTTACAGAGTCAGAAGTGTTCACAGTGGTGGTGATAGGAACCAGACGTCTGAAGAGTTCAATGCCTCTAAAAGCTACATCACAGAAAGTTATTAGAGGAAGGGGTTTTGAACACGCTGCCTGATGCTGAGACACTGTGTTACAATATTTTTGAGAAAAAAATTTGGTCGAAAACGTTTCTTTTTTTAATACGTTAATAAATTTTGGAGGAAAAAAACAACTTAAAACTGAGACATGCATAATAAGCAGTACATAGTAAATAAAATGTCTATTTTTGTGTTGTAGACAATGTGACGTCTGCTCCAGTCCATTTCACACCAAACCACTCTAAATAACTTTGTTTACATCTTATCAATTAAATTATGCAGAGAATTTTGTAAAATTGGTGGAATACCCCTTTAAGTGTTAAAAATGATGGTTCTTCAAAGGTGCAACGGTTCTATTCAGAACCATGAGTTCTTTAAAAATCCAATTGCATGCTTAAATGGTTCTGTGCATGCTGGAATGGTTTTGGGAAATGGTTCCTTGTAGTACCAAAAAGGGCTCTTCTGTTGTTACCAGCTTGACATGGTGACCAAGGGCGAAACCCCTATTTGGTGCTGTATAGAACCTTTTACAACACATTCTCCATCAGTCTGATTTCACCATGCAAAGAACCATTTAGGTATGAAATGGTTCTATATAGAACTCTAAATAGAACCACCGTCTTTGCTAACTACTATAGTACTTTTACGTTCGAACCACAAGGTGGGGGTGTGTGACAGGCTCAAGCTGAGAGGAGCCTGTTTAATATGTATTTACATTTAAGGTGCGTGTCCTTCAATTTCTTTGCAGTCCGGTTAGCATTTTACTACCAAGTTGTTTATTCATTCACTTTATTTATTTGTTTATTTCACTGAGGCGCTGTTGGGTGTGAACAACAGTACATGGGTAATGTAGTGCAGTGTAGAACGTTTCCGTTGTTATTGTGCGGGAAGCGTACTACATTACCCATGGTGCACTGTGAAGCGGGTGTGACGACACGCAAACGTCCGAGAAAGTCTCAGAACCAAAACACGGGGTATGAAGTGTTTCGGTCGGGTTTTCGGCGTCCGTTAGAGTGGAAACGTCGCGGACGGGTGAGGATGTGACAGAAAGTGTTCTTATTGTGCTGAAATAGGCGGGCTTGTGTTAAAAAGGGGCCTAAAGTAATAATAATATCAGTAATAATAGCACAGCGTGGTTTCCACTTGAGTCATTGAGGTTTTAGGGAGTGAACCGAGCTGAGACGGCGGACTGAAGCGCCCTGAACTGCTGCTTTTAGGCTGTGTTTCACGGCTCTGTGCTCACAGTCAGCTCGGTGTTTGGCTTGTTTCTTCATGGTATGCTGTTCACAAGACGCCTCTTAAGGAAAGCGGCGCTCAGACTGGCTTTGGGGGAGCAGAGCAGCTGACCAATGACGGACTGACCACCTCAGGAGCTCCTCAAGGTAAAGACTGAGTTCCTCCTTACAGTTCTGAGTGACACAGAACTGAGTCTGTAGCTCGCTGTGTAAACAGTGGCAGAGAAAGGACAGATACAAAGTCTGTAGCTGCTGAAGTTAAAGCAGAAGTAACCATGGTTCAGGATCACTGGAGTGAAAGTGCACTCTTAAAAAAAAGATGGTTCTTCAAGGGTTCTTTAGTGAGGAAAATGGCATAATGTAGAACTATGGACACTCAGAGAACCCTTTGCATGATTAAAGGGTTCTTTGCACCATGATAATGTACTTCGGGTTGATGTGGAATGTGTTGTATGTGGTTCTATATAGAACCTTTTTGAGAAAGCACCAAAATTGGCTCTGCTGATGTTGTGATGTCGAGCTTGTAGCAATAGAAGAACGCTTTTTGGTGCTAAATAGAACCTTTCCCAAAAGGTTCTATATAGAGGCATAAGCAATGACTACATTTTCCATCAGTCTGAAGAACCATTTCACCATGCAGAGAACCCTTTAATCATGCCAAGGGTTCATGGTTCTATATAGAACCATTTTCTTTGGTAAGAAACCCTTGAAGAACCATCTTCTTTAAGAGTGGAAAGTACAAAACTGCTTGCTGGTCAGTGTAGTAAAGAATCAAAGGTAACAGTGATTTGAATTATTGTAGATGTTGTAAAATTACATTTTCAATTATACACAATTATACGGGGACTTTCTGCCCCCAAACTACACACTTAAAAAGATGGTTCTTCAAGAGTTCCTTAGTGAAGAAAATGGCATAATATAGAACTATGGACACTCAGAGAACCCTTTGCATGATTAAATGGTTCTTTGCACCATGATCGTTGATGATTGGGGGCAGTTGTGGGCTGGAGGTTAGGGAACCAGCCTTGTGACCGGAAGGTCGCCGGTTCGATTCCCTCAGCTGACAGTATGTGACTGAAGTGCCCCTGAACAAGGCATCTAACCCCCAACTGCTCCCGGGGTGCTGTGGATAGGGCTGCCCACCGGGCAAGTGTGCTCACTGCCCCCTAGTGTGTGTTCACTAGTGTGTATGTGGTGTTTCACTGCACGGATGGGTTAAATGCAGAGGTCTAATTCCGATGTGTTCAGACACAGTTAGCTAAAAGGTTCATTTCATTCATTCATTCATAATGTTCTTCAGGTTGATGTGGAATGTGATGTATATGGTTCTATGTAGCATCAAAAAGGGCTCTGCTGATGTTGTGATGTCAAGCTTGTAGCAGTAGAAGAACCCTTTTTGGTTCTTTATAGAAACTTTCCCAAAAGGTTCTATATAGTAGCATAAGCAATAAATACATTTTCCATCAGTCTGAAGAACCATCTCACCATGCAGAGAACCCTTTAATCATGCAAAGTGTTCTTTAAGTGTTCATGGTTCTATATAGAACCATTTTCTTTACTAAAGAACCTTTGAAGAAGCATCTTTTACAAGTGTAAAAGAGTGTACCAAACTACTTGCTGGTCAGTGTAGTAAAGAATCAAAGGTAACAGTGATTTGAATTATTGTAGATGTTGTAAAATTATATTTTCAATTATACACAATTGTACAGGGGACTTTCTGCCCCAAAACTACACACTTAAAAAGATGGTTCTTCAAGGGTTCTTTAGTGAAGAAAATGCTTCTGTACAGAACCACAGACACTCAAAGATCCCTTTGCATTATAAACAGGTTCTTCTGATTGATAGAGAGTGTGTTTTATGTGATTATATATAGCACCAGAAAGGGTTCTTCTATTGTAACAGGCTTGACGCTTAACAATAGAAGAACCCCTTTTGGCACTATATAGAACCCTTTTCGAAAAGGTTCTGTATAGAAGCATCTACAGCACATTCTCCATCAATCTGAAGAACAAAGAACACTTCAGTCATGTAAAGGGTTCTTTGAGTGTTTATGGTACTATACGGTACAATTTGCTTTCTAAAGAACCATACATTTTAGAGTGTAGCCTTTCATATGTTTTAAACACCCCTCCCTCAAGTACACTCGCTTGTAGTGTTTCATAAGTTCCTCCCACCTTCAAGATGCATCATCAGAAGGGGGGTATCCTAGTTTTAAATAGAACATTTCACTCTAGAGTCTATTGTGGCACCACTTTAGGGGGTGAGTAGGCATGTTTACAACAGATGAAGTGATGGTTATGTTTTTCATTTTGGCCTCAGTGCAACTTTAATAGAACATCACACAATGTCTGTTACGTGATAACTTGGAGTGCTTTCACTTTTGATACATGCATTCAGAATCACTTACTTCTGTGCTTTTATTCAAGTACACTCTTAAAAAGATTTAAAAAATGGTTCTATATAGAACCATGAACATTCAAAGAGCCCTTTGCATGATTTAAGTGTTCATTGCATTGTGAAAGTGTTCTTCAGATTAATGGAGAATGTGCTGTAGATGGTTCTGTGTAGCACCAAAAAGGGTTCCGCTATTGTTACAAGCCAAAGAACCCTTTTTGGTACTATATAGAACCCTTTTTGCTAAGAGTGTAGAAATATGGACATAATACTTGTGCTTTTATTCAGGAGTATGTCTAATTGTACTCATGTAGAGAAATATTGTCCACCCATGTGCTGAAACGTTAAGGTCGATTGTTGATCTGTTGAGCTGATTTGAGGCCATTTTCTTGGTAAATGAGATGTCAACCACTTCAACTTGGTGGCTGAATTGTGAGACCCAATACCACAATCTGTCATCATGAATTCATTTTTTCCCTGATTTTTTTCTGATACTCTCAATCCAAGATGACTGACTGTAACAGGAGTCATACAGTTGTCTCTGGTATATTGGTCCACGTTTACATTCAAATATGTCTATTTAAAAAAATAAGTAGCTTTTTAAAAATAAAAAGTCAAATTTAATGCTGTTTTGACAAATAAAACAACTTTAATAATTCATGTGTGAAGTGTTAAGTTTAATTATGCAAGAAGTAACTAAGTAAGTTACCCTTTATTAATCCAACAACGGGGAAGTTTACCTCTGCGTTTAACCCGTCTGTGCAGTGAAACACCCACATACACACTAGTGAACACACACACTAGGGGGCAGTGAGCACACTTGCCCGGAGCCGTGGGCAGCCCTATCCGCAGCGCCTGGTGAGCAGTTGGGGGTTGGGTGCTTTGCTCAAGGGCACTTCAGTCACGTACTGTCGGCTCAGGGAATCGAACCGACGACCATCTGGTCACAAGGCGGGTTCCCTAACCTCCATCCCTCGACTGCCCCCAAACATGTATTGAAACGCATGCTGCTTTGCCATGTAAAATAAGCTTTATCTTTCTTTTCCAATTTCAGGTTCTGCCCAAGACTGACTCCTCTTTCTTTCTTCCACAATGCTGAGGTCATGTTTGCTCAGAGCTGTGCAGCCATGCATGCTGGGTCTGAGAGGGGCGTATGGGCGCACCAGTCCCAGGCACCCCGCCCTGCTGTCCCACCTGCAGAGATGCTCCCTTGGAACCCACAAGCACAAAGAGAAACTAGAGCTGCTGAACTCTCCCAAAGGAGCCAAGGACTTTATCTATAGTCTTCACCCCACGGAGCGGAGTTGCTTACTCAAAGAGCTTCAGAGCTTTGAGTCCATGGCCATCGCTCAAGGTAATAACAGTGTAGCGCGTTTTAACACAATACGCTTCACAGAGAGCTTAAACAAATGAATGAAAGACTTATAAAAAGACTTGAGGGGGTAAAAAGGAAATTTTTGCTGAAATGACAGTATAAGGTAGATGGATGGGCCACCAGGTAATGAATGACTGGCTTTCCTGAACAGTCTGTAGTTCAAAGAACAGCACTACTCATTATTGTTTTGGAGTAAACAGATGTGTTTAGTATGTCTGCATGAGTCAGCGGTTCCCAGCCCTTGTCTTGTAGTACCCGTGTCTTTTTATGTTTTGATGTGTTTTCTATTGCCAAACGCCCATTTTAACCCAAGAAGAGCTTCCTGATGAGTGGATTAGTTGAATCAGGTGAGTAGCAGCAGAAGACTGATCAAGAAATGAGACTGAGATATGCAGGACACCAGGTTTGGAAACCCCTGACGTAGGACAGCTTATGCACATTTGAGAGAGAAGTCAGCCTGAAGATGCTGTATTCAGGACAGGAACAGTTGTTTGAAGACTTCAGCTGGAACTTGCAGCTGGTCCTTTCTTTTCTTTGACCGCTTCTTTCATACCTGAGCCATAGTTTCTACTTCAGGTATTGTAAACCTTTGTCTTTGCCAAGCAAGAGAGGTCAGGAGAACATGATTGGAATTATGATTTTTTTCAAAGAGGATGCTGTCGAAGAGGCTCTGCCACCAAATCCAGTCTGAACAGCTATTTTATACATAGGCCTTTATGTCCTGTCCTCTCCCCCCCACCAGGGGCCTTCATACAGGTCATAAAGGACAGCGTGTGTGTTCGGAGAATCGGATCCTGTTGTAAAAACTTTAGTGTCGTAAAAGAACAGAGTCAGTGAGTGTGTTTACATGCACTTAATCCGATAACTGCAGAAAATCAGATTTTGTCAGTAATCCATAAGAAATCAGAGTAAGAGTTTACATGCACTGAGAAATCTGATTACTGAGCTAAAAGCCAGCTCTCTTAATCTAATTATGGTGTTTACATGACCATTTGAATAATCAGATAACTGCAGAAATCTGATTATGATAGGATTATCGAGTGCATGTAAACGCACTCATTATCAGACTATGTTTATTAAGGTGTCTTGTTTCATCTTGTTTTATAAAAAACACATGTAAAGTACAGATACCCATTACGTATACAGTCACTCTACTGGAAAACACCAGTAGAGATAAAGAGGGCAAAATTCACAGATTCCCAGCAAACCAAAAAATAGCAAACATGCGCATCGATATCTTTTGTCTTGGTACATAAACACATTATGGTCCAAAGAATAGTGCTTGAAAATGTTGTGCATCTAAACAAACAAAACGGTAAAAACTAGTCACAGTAGCGTAAACGTTTTTGTGCACTGTGACATTACTCCCTCAAACTAATCACATCTGAGAAGGTCAGTCTGAAATCTGATGATTTCAGATGGATTTAGGAAGCTTTTCTCTGAAGGAAATGTGGTGCCCCATATATCATTGTTCACTTGAGTAAAAGAGTACCACCATAGCTACTCATGCTCTTTGCTGTGTCAGCACACACTGTCCCTCCACCCCTGCAGGTCTTATCAACAATAAGCAGGTTAAGTACAGGTGAGAGGGAGAACTTTAACCTCCGTCTGCTGAGATGGTGTTCAGAGTGGAGTGAAAAGGGGAGTTTTTGTGAATGGATCCTGTTTTGCCACCTCTTCTGTGTTCAGCAGTGAATCTGTCTTGTCCTGTCTTGCCCTGAGCTGTGAATCAAAAGTGCCAAATGCTATATTTCTCATCTCCAGACCCAGCGATGACCTGCAATTTCATAGTCTCACTGTTGTACTGCACCTGATTCAACTCAACAGTCGATTAGTTGGTTCGTTATGACTTTGATTACTCAATTAGTTGGAAAACAAAAACCCTGCAGATATTAGTCTGGCAGTAACGTTTCATTCAGCCTATTAAAATATGAGGATTACTCCTCCTTGGTTAAATAAATAAATAAATCAATAAATAAATAGATAAATAAATCACCTACCCTATTTTCTTACTCATACTTTTTAAACAGAGCTTTTATTAAGGACACAGCATTTCAGATTTTCTGCATTGCTTCCGAAAACTCTGCTTTGAAAATTGCAAAACAATAAAGGAACAACACGTCCAGTAAAGGCTGTATTTCCTCTCTAATGATAAAATAGAAAGCTTCTGTGTGATCATGTAATGAAATATGATATTATAGATTATTAGCCGTGTCAGATATGAGACCTAAAGCAGCTGGCCACCTAAAATATATACAATTTTTGATGTTACTGCACTAAAATATATGCTATTAACTAAAATATATGTTATTAATTTTACTGCTTTTGTAAGCCTTTAAATACATGTTAATTTCTCTGTAATGCTAGTCCAGGTAGACGTAATACTAAAGTCTACATTTTACGAATGTTTATGTATCAGCATTGGCCGATACATGAGAAACATATCAGCATCAGCCCACAAGTCCCATATCTGTCTCAAGATTAATATGAGACATTCTGGGTGTAATATGTATTCATTCTCAGTTTTATACAGCTTTCTCAGTCATTAGTGTCATCTACAGGGCTGTTCATCATTCTGGACACATCTAACAGTTCTTCTGTTAATTTACAGCTTCCTACATTTGGAACATTGAAATTGTACAAGATTGGAAAACTAAATGATTTTATATGTTCACAAAAATTATTTTCCAGAATTTTGAACAATGTTGTGTTTTGTAAAAACAATGACTACAACTTAAAGCAACATCATTTGTACCAGTACAGATATATGCAAAAGTTTGTGCGCCCCTTAGTCAAATGGCCTTTTGTGGATTGTCTCAGTGAAAATAACACATCCTCTACAGAGACACTCTTCTGCATGTTTTAATGCACTTAAAGTGATGCACTTTAATCACTTTATTTGCTGAATCTAACATAATGAGAGAAAAAAAACATAGAATGTGGCCTATGCCAAAGTTATAACTTAAAATATAAAATGTGATATTTTTTCAATTTTTAAACTCGGCCAATGAATAGAAATTGTGTGCTAAAATTTGCAGGAAAAAACATTTACATTTACATGACATTTACATTTGTTCCCTGTAGACCTATTCGCGTTTAGAAAATCAACAAAACATATAATTACCAGGTAGGGCTGCAAGATCAATCATTTTAACAGTTTAACATTGAACAGTACAAATTTCAATTCGCAAGAGCTGCACTTTTTTAAAATTTAGCCTTCATGATTAAAACCATCTTAAGTTTTAAGAGGGGAAATTTAACCTAATAACACAGAGCTTGTGAACTCCCTGTAGATGAGTTAGACCTATCAGATCTGAGCAAACCTCCTTGTGTTGTGACATCACAACCACAAATTATAGGCAGTCTCGCCTACTACATTCAGGGGTCAAGACTCAAGACAGAAAAGGTGGACATTCTTATGAACCTGAACCTTATTTTATAGAAAATAAACGATTTAAATCACAGTCGCAGTATTATTTAGAAAAATCGCAATTAGATATCATATATATATGTGTATGTGTATATGTATGTGTGTGTGTGTGTGTGTGTGTGTGTGTGTGTGTGTGTGTGTGTATAAATATCGTTCAGCCTGTTACCAGGGGTGTTCAAACTTGCATTTATCTGTATACCGGTATCATGCATTAGGCTGTCTGTAGTGAAGCTGTGACACACTGAATTACAGTTCATACAGATTCTTGTCTGTATTCTTGAATGAATGCAGTTTTTTTCCATGTTTTTATTTTTACCTCATTCTGCCTCTATCATATGGTTTCTCTTTCATTTTGCAAATTTGATCTATCCGTTTCTGTCTCTCTAACTTTACATCCCTCCCTCTCTTATTCCTTTCCACCTTTTTCCTTGTTTTAATCTCTCCGGCCTCCTCACCCTTGGCTAGAGAGCGCCCCCTTTAGGCGAGGGCTCAGCAGGGACAAGGTTCAGGCGGAGGTGACTGAGGGTACGTAGCTGAGCCTCAGGGCCCTGTTCCAGTCTACAGAGGGATTAAGCCTCCACTCTCTTCCCCAGCTCCCTTCTGGTTCTTTTATTTTGAGTTTATTTATCAGAAGAAAGGTACTGTTTAGTATTAGGAGTTGTAGATTTTAAAACTGATCATCTTCCTCAGTGTAGATTTTAGCAAACCGAAGTGGCCCTGGGGAGCGAGCACAGGCTTAATGTTTGTGATTGGGAAAGGTGCCTGGGACTCTGCAGGTGCGTGTTTTGTGCTTTTGCTTTAGAGCTAATTCCTCCCGCTGCGCTTTTCATTCTGTTCCAGGCTGACATTCAGTATGCTGCTTCAACACATGCCCTTCACTAGGAAACAGAAGTGGCTTCCTGTGTGAAATAATTAGTAGATTATGGTTAAACAAGCAACCAGTATTTTTCTGTGTTAGTGTCCTGATACTCTTTATGATGTTTCACGTGCTTCAGAAGGCTCAGAAATAATCAAATTACAGAAAAATAGTGCAAACATGAGAGGTTTATTGTATAATGCAAATAGATAAATAATAGAGTGCATGTATAAGTGTGTACTGGTTTGGGCTTTTTGCTCCGCAGCTGCAGCTGAAAGCTTATTCTGAGCTAAAAAGCAGTAAAGCATGTGCTCAGCAGCAGACATACTGAACACTTTTTGGTCTGCACTGTTTGCAATAATGGAAAAACCAATAATGCTTAACTCGGACCATAACCAGCTCAGCTCTGCATGCTGATAATGTTATAACATTTGTGCCAACAAATCGCTTCTGTCACACTTCCATATATTTCAGCTCTGCAGGCCAAAATCTGGACTCTACTTGTTCTGGACGATTGGGGCTATCATGTCTCACATTTACCTAATTTTGGCCCCTGCACTTTTTGCCCCCTACCAGTTTAATGGATTTGGCCTTCATATGTAGCACTGTGTGCAAGTCTAGTAGCTAAGGCAGCTAAGAAAACTGTTTATTTTTAATGCCTATTTTGTGAAAAAATACATATTTCCTTACTTTTTTAAATAAGCATTGGATGCAGTGTGTAAACATTGTTAAAGTTTCAAAAGGTACTGTTATCTCCTCGATCCATGCAGTCTGTAAATGGAAACTAAGCTGCAGAAACAAGCCTGTTTTAAGTTCACTGTAATTGTGATGTCAGGAAAAGTGACACATTTACGTGTATCCGCCTATTCAGCCTGCAGCAGTTTAGCTCCGCTCATTCACACTGAAGTTATAAGAAGTGTTTTAGCCTGGAACGCTTTTAAATGAAGCACGATACAGAGCAGCCAATCAGATGCAGACCAGTCTTAAAGTCACAGAAATGGCCTGTTTACTTCTGAAGGATAAAGAGAAGTTGAAAAGTAGTCATGAATATAATGAGTTCTGACTGTTTTTGGAACAAAAAATTACCCAAATGTCAAAAGTAGATCTCAAGGAGAAAAAATATGACGCAAAATAGTGGATATGGGTCTTTTAAGCAAAAGCAAACATTAAAATACAATATATGAAACAATTTGTGAAACATTTTATCTGCATTTATTCTGTTGTTAGTGTTTTTGTTGTTAAAAGCTGCAGCCCAGATAAATGACTTTGTACAAATTCTCTGGTGCCTAAGACTTTTGCACAGCGCTGTATGTATGTATGTTAAGGAAAGAATGAGAGATTCATTGACTCAGCTCTTTCCCTGCTAAACACACAGAGACTTTAGTCGCTCTCTACATTCGTGTGAATGAAAAGTAAAGGCAGTGCTGCTGACAACCACAGTAATGTAAACATAAAGTACTCGGCTGTGGCTAAACAGCTAAGATTTTAAGAAAACAGTACACAGACTTGGAGCATCTGAATTCCCTCTTACAGAGTAAGTGGGCTAATAAGGAGTAAATAAGAGCTCACTAGCCACTCCCTCTGGTCATGGGGAAAGTGGGCTTTGTGCTATCAGTTGAGGCCAGAGAACTCTGTGCACTGTGGAGAGTTGGCTGTTGTCAGATTTAGCTTAGTACTAGACTAAAATGGCTTGGAGAGAAGAATTTCCATTAGTGAAGGAAAGCTTGCTTTTTAACCCTTGTGTGGTGTTCTGGTCTGTGGGACCCATTTTCAGTGTTTACCAAAATAAAAAATTGTGCGATTTATTATTATTTCAACCCCAGATTCCTTGGCCTTTGTTCAAGAACATATTAAATTACCCATTTTCGGTGTCTTCACACTGTTCACCCCCCACACATTTATATTAAACATGTGGTATTGGGGTGAACATGCGGGGAGTAGAAGTGTGGAGGTGCTGTGTCCTTCACTCTGTTCTCCTCCTACATGGCCTGCTGTTACACTGTTAGGAATAAAGTTTTTGTGCAGGTACATTTTTTGCTCATCAAGGTACAAACAATGTAAATGTGTCCTCAAAGGTACAACAGTGGTTTTAAGGTCCAACTGTGCACCTTAAATAAGTTTTTCCAGGTGAAATGTTCGTATTTGTACCTTTTCATAACCAAATGTTTTAAAACAGAACAATAAAATAAAGTCTGGAGACGAGACGGGGTGTGTGGAGTCAGTACAGCTTAGAAAATATTTCAGTGGATTATGGTTCAGTTATGTTCCCTGACTAAAGGTACTGAGATGAACCCTTGAGGGTTCCACCCCAGTGACAAGAGGGAAATTGCCACAGTGACAGTACAGTACCTTTATGTGTGTGAGTGTGTGTGAGGGTGGACAACATAGACAGGCTGCTGATTGGCTACAGCTGCTAAAGGAGAACCCTATGCTGGACACTTGTAATATTTTAAACATCTGGTATTTTTACATAAATAGTTTTGGCTGTATTGATTTAAAAAACAGTAAAGTGGTGGGACCACCAGACCACTGAGTAACACACACATCAACACCTCACAAGGGTTAAACTAAATGACATTGAGTCTGGAGAACTCTCCTTCTGTTGTTCTTTCTAGTTTGGGGGTGAGCAAGCGTGGCAGGGAGGAATGTGCCAGCTAAAGGTTAAAGGTCAGAATGTGTAGTACTGAGGCTTTGGCTCTGATTTAGAGTCTGTCTCACTACTGCAAACTCTGTCAAATAAAGGGGGCCCATATCATGAAAGACTGATTTTTCAAAAATGTAATGGTTAAGATGGTGTGAAACGCTCTGTTCAAGAGAAACTTAGAGGCAGAATTGTTCACAGTGGTGGTGACAGGAGCCAGATGTCTGAAGGCAATATAGTCCCCAAAGAAAACATATTTTTCAGATGTACTGCTATTTTACCATCATCAACATTGGATGGTAAAGAAAATCTCTAGATATACTTTATAAGCCTGCCAAGTTCTCAGTTAATTCTCCAGACTAATCTTGCTGGGTTGTTTTGAAGTCAAACTGCAGATTCTGATCTATTAATAAACCTTCTGTCTTCACTCAGGGCCTCTGTGTGTGTGATATCCATGTACTATATCATTTAAACTGTCCTGGCTCGGCTCCTAGACATGACCACTGTGCTGAGACACAGTCACATGAAGCCTCAAGGCTGGTTAATGGTCTGTGGTATGATGTGTTGTTGGCTTCAGTGCAGCAGGTAACTTCACTGTGAAACATTTGAAACTAAAGCACTCATTATCACAGTAATGTAACGAATACTAACGTGTCACTTATGTTAATCTGGAAATTAAAGTACTTTTCAGAGAGATGTTGCAAAGGCCCTTTAAATTCAGTTATTCAATCAAATAAAAGATGAGGTCATGCAGTCGAGTTAAAGAGGAAATCTTCCTTTATTCCAGTCCTGGTAAGAGTTCTGTTTTAGGACGAGAAGTCTCAAACATTCATCTGACATTGGATTCTATTGGTGCTTCAGAACAGGCAGTATAAAGCTTGTGATTGTTTAAAACCTTACCAAATATAGATTTTGTAAGATGATACTTAAAAACAGTGCTAGAACACGTCCCCTCCAGGGGCGAACTTTTAAGCCCTATTTTTAGGGGAAGGTGATGACTTTGACCACAGAGGCAGACGCTGTCTTATTTCCCTTTTTGCTTACACAGGAAGTTTCTGCACCCTGATTGTTTCTTAACAGATTAATCGTCAGCATCTCAGGTTATATGACTTTTGCAGATTATTTTGTTGCCTGGCTGAAAGATAATGCAGTTTGATTAAACTAAATATGTGATTAATGTAAAAATATAGCTGAGCTTCTAATCAGGATATAAGATTTTTTTCTCACATTTCCCCCCCTTTGACACTATCAGTGTCAGCACCATCATACGAGGGCAAGTGTGTGAGCCAAGACTTAAACACTGGACTAGAGGTCTGCGCTACTGCAGATTCCTGTGGGACCCGCCACAGTATTGCGGGGTGCGGGACAAATTTTCAGTGTTGCTAGCATGAGTGGGCGGGAAATCAGACCCCTTCAGGCGGGAGCGGCGGACGCACGGATATAGAGAAATCCCGCAAGTGAATGAATAGCCTAAATAAAGTAGAACGATCTCTAAAACATACATGTAAACAATATAACAGTAAAACGGTTTAAATGAATGAAGTCATTCTTGAGCAACCGAACACCTGAACAACACACAGGTTCTCATAGGCTTGATTCACACATACTATTGTGTGGTGTGAGTGATGCGGAAAGTCTAGCTTTTTAGTTCGGCACCCATGTTAAGTGGTCAGCTGTACACGTCACACAGCTAAATACACCAAAATAACCAATGAAAATGAATCAGAAGGCCATATAAAAACTTCAAGAGGCGATTTTTATGTAATTCATGACGAAATACTAGTTAAACATTCTGTGCTGCAGACAGAATTCCCGATTGGTCTAGGCTTGAAACGTTTGCCAGAAGTCAGAATGATGTCCAGGATAAACAAATGTGTGACCATCTATCCGTCTGGAAAAGGGTATGTCTGTATAACTGTCTCGTTGCTCCACAGCACAAACGCTGTATGTATGAAAGACCAGCGCATCTGAGCTGTAGCGCTCGCGGAGGCAGCATGTGTGAATCAGACAAAACAGAGATGGCGGAGC